CGCATTTATGCTGTGTTTATGCTACTCATCCTGTTTTTGATTACAAACGCTTGCACATAAGTGAATCAACTCAACTTAGGTAGGACTGTTTATATCTATTTTTTTATATCTAATTGTTTATCGGAGTATGGTGCTGTCCCGGAGTCTCATTACTCATCTGAATGTGTATCAAAGATGTGAAACTCCAAAAGTTTAATAAACTTTTGGAGTTTCACATTGTTGATACACATTCTAATTGTTTATATCTAATTTCAGGAAGTATGTAACGTCAAACAGTAAAAAAAGGGGGGGGGGTCGTACCGAACCCCTAAAAAGGGGGGGGGGTCGTACAGGCTCGACCAAAATCCCCATCGAATGCTGTGCTCTGTAGAACATTCAATCATTTGCTACAAAAGACCCTCAGCTGTTACACTTCTAGCCGTTTAATGAGGTGTTCCTACGTCGCATACTGAGGTAAGCGCAACCTAAAGGGAAGAGCCAGTAGGAAAACCAAAGAGAATAGCACCATCAACAAAACTATAAGCTACTCGGTGTAGCAGTATCAGTCTAGCCTTGGTACTGATTATAATGAAACCCGCTTCTAGTAGAGAAGAAGCACAGTATGTATGCTCGCAGTCATTCAGGCAGATGGTAAATCTGAAGTGTATACTTCAGCTGGCAGTCCATCGGTAGTAAGGTACCGCCTCAAAGTGAGCTCGTGCGAATGCGGGCTAAGACTACGCGCATACTTTGCGCCCACCAGCGACCATCAGCGATTGGGAAAGTACACTGCGAAGCATAATCATAATTCCACCCATGAATCTCCCAAATCACGCCTCACACGACGTTTTCAAAAATGCCCCCATTCAGAAAATGTGGTAATTACCAGTACCAATTCGCATGCCAACACCGAACTCTAGCTTGAAAAACAATTTTTTTCCGTCAATTTTTTTTCAAAAATGGTCGTTCTGATAACGCAGCAAAACTATAGTTCCACTGCATATTTTCCGGTTGCATCTCATTTTTGTTCGGTAAAACTTCTCATCATTATGCTTCTTGCCTCTTCTAGGCTATGGCAAGTGGAACGTCATTAATGGACCTCGAAGAAAAAAAACGGATCGTCGCAAAGAAGACTCAAAAACTGGTGAATGGCGCGGGATGCGGGCCGCACTCATCATGTTATCAACAATGTTTTCCAAGGGAACTACGGGATATTGAGCTGAGAAGAGCGCTGGACATCTTCCTTTGCTGCCCGATTGGAATAACCGCCGTATCCTTAGGAAAGCATCCAACTCTGCAGTGTCGTGTCGGGAACTTATAATAAGTCATCTACGCGGGTTATTGTCTCGGAGGATACTGTTAGGCGTCTCTTGAAAAACTTCCGAGTTGTCCCATAGGAGGAATATGAGTTAACTGTTCCTAACAAAAAGCCATCGCGAAAACCTGATTGGTTTTGCTCGAAGATGTTGACGAACCCAATGTAGTGAGGTTAGCTTTTGGCTGCGGTATCCTACTGCTTGTCTGTGTTGTCTTTTTCAGTTTTTTTTCTCACGGTCGTGTTTTCTGATGGGAAAAAATGTAGCTGCGACGGCTCCGGAGAAAACCGATTCCACTGGCACGACCTGAGGAAAGACAAGTTTCATTTTTCCGGGGAACTTCAGTGGATGTGGTCTCATGCTCTGGGCCGCCATTGCATGAATGGAACGTCTGAAACTGCGCTCCGTATGAAAAAAGAAATGATTCCTTCCGTCATATAAGAGTCATGCGACAACGTCTTCTTACTTTCTGGCCTAGAAATCAGCAACAAAATCCTGTTTTCATGCAAGATAATGCTCCAATTCATGACAGTCGAAGCGCTCGAGCGTGGTTCAGTCGTCACCAAACCGCTCTTTTGCCCCGGTCGGACGACACCACTCAAGAGTCGTTTCTGGTGACCCAATTTGCAAAGGTACCCAGTTTGTAATAGGTAGTAACATTCACAAATGAGCACACCAACATCTTCATCACAATGATTTGCAAAATTCCTTTCCTCGTTTCATCATTCCACCACCTCTTGCAAGGACGGAAAGGTTGAGCGCATTACTTATGGAGCGCGGACGTTCCTCGATCTACTCCAAGCAAGTCAACTAAATGAAATCGATCGAGCGTGCATCTCTCTGTCAGAATATCAGTACTTACTATTTAGAACGTCGGAAGAGATTCTCGCTTTTGATCATTCGGGGATGATGCACATTATACGCTATTGCGGAAAGTGCTGGTATTCTCTTTTCTAGAATTCCTGCCCAATATTGTCGCCTATGCTTCATCGGTGAATTCGTTGCAACGCCCCTAATTGGAGGTTGTGGACCTTTCACTTCAGTGGCAACATAAAAAAGTGTGATCCTCCTCACAGAAGCCAATAATCGTCCCGTAGAACCTGTTTATTTTTGACTATTTCTGTTTTTGTACAGCTTACTCTTAGCCAGCCGTCACCATGATGAACTACCTTCCCCTCTTGTTCAACACCGGTAACAGAAGTGTTGAGTCTGTAGATTGACTACGTGATGAAAAATACAATAAATACAGGCAAACCACACTATTCCAGATTTTCGAGAGAGATTGGACATCAAATTACGTCATTCCATTGTCATACTTTGATAACGATAGGAGATGGAGGAACACTACAAGCTTATTTTTATAATAATTCATTTCAAATGAATAAATTCGAGTGCATGTACAAATAAATAAATTGTTTCTAACCAGTTGTAAGTAGAGTTGCTCCGAAACACCATGAAAATTCGTCATACCTAGGACGCAGACAATCTGAGAGCCGCTTTTTAGCTATCTGCTTTGTGAGCGAAATTTCACTGTGAAACGAGAGATCAGGCTATTCAACTGAAGGATATGATAGGTTCTGTTGAGTTGGTCCTAGAACTATTAGGTTGTTCGGAAAAGAATGCGCGTTTGAGTGTAAAAATTCTTTCTATTATAAAACGAATTAAACAATGGTCAATCTAAAAGATAATCTCCATTACTAGCAATGACCTGTTGCCAACGTGTACGCGAAGAATGAATTTCTCTTTTGAAGAACTTAGCCAGCTGCGATTCAAAGTAGTTGGACACCCAGAGTTGGACTTCTCCGCGGTTTTCGAACTTTCTTTCGGCCAGGAAGTGGTGCATCGACCGGAAGAGATGGTAATCGAATGGTGCCAGGTCTGGGCTGTCTGGCGGATGAGGCAGTACTCCCCAGCCCAATTCCTCAATTTTTTCCAAAGTGATTTTCGCGATATGTGGACGAGCGTTGTCGTAGAGGAATCTTGTCGATGTCGATTCGACATCTTAACGACGCAGTGCTTCATCCACGCGCTTCAATTGATGAGTCTTAAAATCTCTGTTAGAAACGGCTCTTTTCGACAACTTCGCCAAAACAGCCTCTTCCGCTACTTTTCCCCTCGGTTGTGTCGTTAGGTTCGCCAGAGAGGAAATCTGGGCTAACAGAGCACCTTTTTGCCAGTTTTCTCGCCGGTTGTGTCACTAGGTCCGCCCGCTGCCCCAGAGAGCCGAGTGGGTCATTAGGTCCACCCAAGTGCGTCGTTAGGACTTGCTTGAAGTCTTACCACATGCAAGCTCGCATTCGAAATTTTTGGTCAAGCATTTTCTAAACTTTTTTTTCTCTAAAAAACAAGGTAGACATAGAAAAAATATATCAAAAGATGCGCAATAAAAAACTCTTTCTAATGGATAAAACTGTTTTGAAAAATCTCCTGTAGTAGAAAAGAAATAAATAGACAAAGTCATCGCGCATTCCTTTCCGAACAACCTAATAATATGACAATCTGAACATTGCATATATGTATCAGCATCATTTTGTTTACCGCGGAGACATTCAGGGTCCGCCTTACATTGTGCGGAGCTAAGACACGGCGAACCATTAAGTGTTTCTCTAGAGGGTTATTAACCCGTGATCTCAAACGTCAAGAGACCCACGTTGTGGAGGCGCTACAAGTGGTACCCCTTACTTAGCATTCACACCAAGACTTTTTTAACGGAGAGTATGTCGAGCCAACTATCAGGAAATGTGGGACTGGAAATGAGAAGGTTCCTAGCAGTTTCTATTCACTCTGCTATGACTGTTCACCGGAGACGGCGTTCTAGTGGTGATTTTACGGAGGAAATGCTTCAGAGAGCGATTTCTGAGGCGAGCTGTTCATATGTTAACACATTGCATGTCATGTAGATGGACAGGATAATTCCAAGGGTTTCGCCATGAGCGCGGAGCGGGGCCGTGTATCTACGACGCCATAAGGCAGCGTTCTCACTTCGCGAATGGAGCCGCTCAGGTGGGCAATTTGGGAAAGGATATTGCTTGCGCTTTACCGCAAGTCTTTTGACTGTTCGATCTGATATTTTTCATCTCAAGTGCGATCGACTTCACGGTTGCAGCAGTCCATCCATAAGAAATAGAGTCCAATCGATAGCAGTCACAAATCTGAATAGCCAGAATCACGAGCTATGAATGCGGCTTAGTGCAGAGTGGTGAGGTCGTGGTCATATCCAGCGCTGGTCTCGGAAAACGGGGAATACCTCACAAGTGGCGTGCTAACGGAAAAGTTCAGATACGATTTCATTCCCCGAATACTCTATTTTTTTACAGGATCGACTAATAGTCGGCCCTTTCCGCCTATGCTCCGACTCGTCAATGCAGTTCTCCCATTTCCCGTTCCATTCTTCCAGCGTGCATAGTGAGCAGGACACAATATCACTTTCCACATAGATGTTTTAGCAAACTCTCCTAACCCCCAAAAGAGCAATGTATTAACAAGGTCTGACACTGAGAGATAGACGACTTTTCTTGTACTTTCCGCGGTCCCCTGTGCACCCTCTGCATCTTGCCTGACTCAGCAGTGGAAAATCGCTGCTGCTCACAACTAAGCATAATTTTCAAACGCGACATCCCTCTGCAAGATCTCGACATAGAAGAGGAAATCACTTTCTGCGCAATAGAATGACTGAATGACTATCGCAATTCGCATGCACACCATTTACAGCAGTATAGCTAAAGTGAGTACAATATTAATGAATTGGAAGAATATTAGAGTGAGTACGTTGATTCGATCAAATATACGAGCCCACATTCGCTCAAGCCGAGAGTCGGACGCTACCTCTCGTAAAAACGAGGAAATCACTTCCAAGTAAGTTGCCAGTTGAGTGGATCTAAAATAGATCATTGCAATAGATTTCAAAAAGGCTTCACTTGAATAGCTCCTCAGTGGTCGCAGGCCTAAGCTTGTAATTGAAAGATATTTCAGATACATATGGTGGGAACTGAATAGGCTCTTTTGCATCTTGGTCCAGGGTGGAACAGGGAATACTGTAAAATATTGGCAATGTCTGAATTTTTTGGATAATGGGGCGCGGCAAGGGGTGTGGATCCCAGAATGTATAGCGTTTCGGTACAAAAAAAAAGACATGAAGAACTTGAGGAACAATGAGTTGATTGAACATGAACCCACTCGAAGCCGTTGCGATCCTGTTGAAAGCCATCGTAGTGCGTGATCTTTCTATCATACTGTCTAGTCAATATCGTAGTGACCAAGCATGAAGGAGGGTTCCATCCTCGGGTGGTAGCCCGTTCATGAAGGGTCAGATAAATTGAGGTGATTAGCACAGCAATTGCGCATAGAATCGTTTCTGCCAGTACATAGATACCTATATGAAACAATTAAATAGCAAAGTGTACAAAAATACAAGGGTTCATCAAGCGAACCTGTAATGAATCTTCATCAATGCAATGCATTCACATAAACACTGGTCGCACGATACCCATACCCAGTCGCACTCGATCCGCCCTTTTTAGGTCAGAAATTACTTCGAATATGGGTGATGTTGGTTGACAAACAAGTTCCCGATTACAGCGTTTGGGTCGCGAGATGGACAAGACAATCATTTGTCGAGTCGGTGGAGCAGCGTAGCGCGCCATGACGCGCGGCAAAATCTTGATGAGCACCAGTTTGTTGATTGCAGTAGCAAAACTGGTATGATTTAAGCGCAAGCAGACTCCATGAGGAGCGAAATCAATCATTTCCTCCCTTAAACTTCAAACGGCCGGAAAAGGCAACTCGTCCATCAGGCGCGGTGTCCCCCTCCCATCCCACCGCATATTACGATTGTCTTACCACTCATTGTCTAATCCCTTATACTACAGCGCACTGACTAAAGCAGACTAGTCCAGTCGAGCTGAACTAACCACTAGTCTGGAGCACTAATTCTCATTCAAGCGAAAGGACTACACATTTTTTTTCCTATTGAGATTATCCTATTACCAGTCGGGTCGCGCGGCTGACGCCATTCGCTCCTCGTTCCCTTCAGTCATCGCCGGGCTCAACTGGTTTCGCCAGGCGCACATCATAATGGGAACGGAATTTGTTAATTGCCTGAGCTGCTCATATTGCGCGGTAGTGGTCGAATCACAACAGACAAAGCAACTAGCAAAGATACTGTACTCCTCATTCCACCCTAATATTTGCAGTAGCCGTGCTGGTTTAGGCAATAACGCCCATTCTATGCATGGATCGTAGAAATAGATAGGAAGTACAGTCGGCCATAAACGCAATATCAATATGAGTTGCACAGTAAATGAACAATTTTCGTTACTATTACCCGCATCACAACGCCAACGATGAGAGCTTAGCCTCCCATTAGTATGCTATCCACTTGCTGAAGTTCCATGACTGCAGATGCCGATATTTGGGCTACGTTCGTTGAATATTTTTCAGACTACTTATTCGTTCCCATCAGGGAAATCAGAAGTTAAAAAGTAAAAAATTGTAAACCGACTGAAGGACAACGGCAATGTTCCTCATCAGCCCTATCAGATCTTATCACTTTCTGTCACCAATGGTCGATGTCCCCACCACGGCGGGCACATCACTTGTTGGAGTTAACGAAAAGCTGGTGCTGTGTCCTCCCTTATGAACATAGTGGTCTCCCCTCTCTAACTCCTCTTATCGAATCTTATCAGCTGCTAACAGTTTTTGTCACCCACCGATAATGTTCTCGTCCCGAGCCCCGTATCACATCATGAAAACAGCGTCTAAACGATGCTGTGATCCGCGTCATGTCCTCGGTGATCCTCTCTTTCTGACGCCTTTTATCAAATCTAATCACCTGATATCATTCCCTGTCACCCACCACTTATGTTCCTGTCCCATTCCTGTATCATATCTTGGAGTCAACGTCTAAGCGATGCTGCGGCGCGCGTTATGGACTCGGTGACCCTCCCTTCCTAGCGCCTCTTATCAGATTTTATCAGCCGATATCATTAATTGTCACGCACCAGTAATGTCCCCATCACAGCCCCTACACAACTTCCTAAAATCAACTTCCCACGGCTACTGAAACGGGGGGAGGGTAGCAGAAAAAGGAAGACTTTTTTCTTCCTTGACTTTCGAGGCGCTATAACTTTCACTTTATTGAATTCTAATCAACCTACTTGAGGGGGTTCAGGTCAAGTGATCTGCTTAGATATTACACCTCCTTCAGGTACTCAATGCCCTTCTATTCCAAGTAAGCAAGAGTTTTCCCAACGCCCTTTGATTCCATGCGGTGTCACCCAATCCTGTAGCAGTACAAAGTTTCCAAGAAGGTACGGGCGACGACATGTGGAGAGGATATTCTTCGTTAGTTGCTCGATGTTACCGCCAGCGCTCAACTCCAGTCCGGGGCCCACGAAGAAAATATAGGCCGCTCCACTCCGGGTACGTCCGGTCCCCACCATCAACTGGCGCCTCGGCGACTGAGGTGAAGATGATATCCTGGACCGTAGCGACGTTGTCGGAGTGCTCGATGTTGGAGGTCTTCCAGATTGAGAGTACTACTCTCCAGGTAGCTATCCATGGGTGGCTCCATACTACAAAATCCACAGCTGTTTGGGCGACATGGATTTTAAAGGTCTTCTCCAGTCAGGCTGCGACTGGAGATGACTTCATATTTTGATGTACATGAAAGTGATGGGCGAGCGCCAGCTCTTGCTAATAGAGGAATGTCTTGGGTATCTTCCGCCCTGGTACTCGTATCCACGTCCTCTGTCTGGACTGCTAAACTTTGCTGATATGTGACTCGATCGAAATGTCTTTTTTTTGCCTCCCTCCCTGTATAGTAGTATATATAATCTACTATGTACGTGTGTGTGCGTCTCTCTGTCTATCACGAAATTCGTAGCGCCGGTCCCAGCGCCAGTGAGACAACGGTTGCAGGAAGTGATATTGGGGATGTGACGGGAACACTACTGGTGGGTGACAGGAAGTGATACCAGCTGGTAAGATTCGATAAGAGGCTTTAAAAAGAGATGGCAACCATATTCATAGCGCGGGTGACAGCATCAAGTATCTGCTGATTCCAAGATATGATTTAGGATACGGGAAAGGAACATTTGGAGGGTGACAGGAACTGTGAAATGCTGATAAGATTTGACAAGGGGAGTCAGAATGGAATGGCCACCATATTCATAAAGCAGGGTACAGCATGAGATAGGCGTTGATTCCAACAAGTGATATGGAGAGAGGTGGGGATGTCGAAGATGGGTGACAGATAGTAAGGACCACAAGAAGCATTGCCGCTGTTGTCCACTCGAAGTGCTAGAACCTCAACGCTACATGCGCTATCTGCATGCAATGATGCCGAGCGGGGGAGGGGGTGGGGAGGAGGGAACAGGAAATTCAGGGAGAATCAAGATCGGAAAACCTTAATTCACCCTTTACAGACATTTTTTTTATTTTTTCACTTTTAGCCTTAAATTACTGACCGAAACGCTTAATAAGTGAGTATGAAAAAAATGAACGACTAGCGTTGCTCAATTATTAGCACCTGCGATTATTTATGTGATTTCAGCAAGTGGGTTGCATGGTAATGGAAAAAATGAGCATGAGCGCTCACCGATGGGCATCTTGATGGAGGTAATGGAAACGGAATTCGTTCATCTACTGAGCCTTTCACATTGCGATGTATTGTCTGGCGGTACTTTCTGTCTATATCATAGTTTGTATAGCATAAGCGTTATGGCGAAACCACTCTCCTCCTGCAACTATGAGCATGGACACAGGGATGCAGAAACCGCTGTGTTACTCTGTTACTACTCGATTGACACAGCGCAACATGAGCAGCTGTGAGAATGAAAAAGTTCCTTCCCATTATAAAGTGCACCTGGCGAACCCAGGCCAGCTGAAGAGAAGGAAGACAGCTCGCGATCCGACTGGTATATGTATTATAATTGAGACCGTTTCTGAGTAGCCTGTTATAGTTCGTACCCATATAGATGCTAATGGTAAGTAGGCATGATCGGGATTCCATATGGTGATCAGTAGACAATTCAATGAGCGCCTTGCACCATCCGCACACGAGGATGTCCGAAAAGAGGGACAATGCTTCTATATTGCCCCCAGATAGGGCTTTCATCACATCGCATTCTTCGGCAAGGTCCACTTCTCAGTAACGTGGTAAACATGGAAACGGATGGAAATTCGTGACTTCAGCTCCAGTTTCTCAAGCAATAGCATCCTTAGAGTAGTACTTCATCGCATAGTCACTGAATATTTTCTTTCACCGTCTTTCAAAACGTATTCCGATGCTCACCTAGGAGAGGCAGTTTCTGTGATCTTGGCATAGTGGCGGTAACAGATTCCAAGATGAGAGACATGGCCAGTAATGTGCAAACGCCCAGAGATACCTGAATTGAAAGTAGCTTAACAACATCTGAACAAGCAATTGCTGAAAAGTTGCGAATTAGTGCGACCTATTGCATTCCGGATAGCACAAGATTACTGTACTGCTACTTGTGCCTTCCCTCTGATTTGTTTTGTGCGGTTTCACCTCACTTCACCGCAAAATCACTAGTTGAATTAAGTAGGCAATAACAAGTAGGTACAGTGCTAGATAACCTTCTCGATGTTCAGACCGCTCGTTTCGGAAGGCAAGAAGAGACCATTGATACAGAGAAATGTGCACACACACGTTGGAATGACGATTGCCATCGAATAGAACTGCGAGTTTCGGCGCAACCGAACCGAAAACACCAACTGGAAAAAAATTTCAGAAAAGCGGGAAGTTGTAGTTTGTTTCCATCACTTCGGATAGAAAATGGTCCCAACGCAAGAAAAAAAAATCACAGCAAGATGGTTCAGGGTTCATTTTACGATAATTTCACGTTCTTGCGATCGTAGAAGTATTTTGTTACCATTTTGATGGGGCTCTCCAAAGAGCTAGCGTAAAGAGTGTACTGCTTGAGTGTCGTAAGAGGTAACAGGAAAGTGCACCCACAAACAAAATCTCAGTGGATCGAAACTGGGGANATCAATTCATACAAAGTTTCGAGTGATGAGCGAGACCCTAAATGCAAGCTGAGACTCTACCCGCCGAGTTGCACCATTTTCAAAAGTGGGCGGGCGTTCTCACAGTGGTCAAGGCTAGCAGTCCAATTCATCTAGCAGTCCAATTGCAAAATTTCAAAAAATATCTGAAGATTTTGCAAAAAGTCAAATTGGGCAGCCTAGCTCTCTACCTTTTTTTTTCAAGGCTCATGCATAAACCCCTACAATATACGAGCATCTCCTCGAAAAAGTGTTCCACAGCTTGAAATATTCCCCTTCTTAGTGCGACCCCTAGTTTTTTACCCATTGTGGTGAATTAATGCTCGATACCTTACACCCACTGAGTGTTCCAAAACGTGGAGCAATCCGCTGCAATAATCAAAGCAGTTAATCTTCAACTTACCACCTGGAAGTCACCTTCCTCGTAGGTAGTGTCGAGAGTAAGTTCGGATGATAGAGAAAGTAATTTCCATTCGTTATTGCCCTGAACCACCAAGTTTGACGAAGCGGTGAAGAGAAAAAAAAACGAGGCATAACCCATTAGGAACATTCGAATCAGTGAGTCACTATTAGTATTCCAGTAGTTCCAATGTCACAAATTTCCTTGCAAGAAGATCAGTCTTTTCTTTGGCAGTGGACTACCGATGTTCCTTATGCGACGTATCTATGAACATTGAGTTATCCTCCAAAAATGAGCGCTTGATTCGGCTCCTAGGTCCATTGTGAGGTCCTCGCCTACCGTTGCAGGGGTAAAGGGTTACGGATTCAGTTTAGGGAACCAAAAACTCACCCAGCTTTAGTTATCATAAAGCCTCAACAATCAGCGCCTATAATGGAGATTCAGCACCGAAATCCAGTGTGGAGTGATTGCGGTGGCACAGTTCTCAACAGCGGATCAGAGGTTCAGCAGTATTCAAAGGCAATTCTCGCGACCACACTTCATAGGCAATACAGTTTAAAAGTAGAATTGCCCTGTGACTGTTGACTTATTGAAGAGAAGGAACCAAAAGCGCCCGGAATAAGACCCTCTCTTTTGCAATTGGTCATCACCGGACGAGCGTAAGGTGGTCAAGATCAATTGTGAATTGCGAAAGGCGGCGATACACTGATAAGAGACGAGAGAGGCCAGAAAATGACGAACGAGAGGGCGCAGTGGCAATGTCACAACGACACGGTCACAGGAGGTCGGCATGGGCCTATCAGGCGCCAGTGGGTCTAACACATAGGCGCCGTGCGTTCTGCTTGCTGATTTTCAACTTTTAAAAGCAGCATATCCTCTACTGTTGCCTGCTTGATCATCATGCACGTTTATGAGGTTCTAGCCTTAGTTTACCGCGAAACGTTTCTTCAAGGCTTTACCTGATGCTAATGGGAAAAGGAAAATCCAAGAAAGGGCAAAAGTGGTATTTATTAGGCTCCTTACGGTGTCGACGAACAGCAGGGAAGTCGTGGGGCCTCTCCTCGCAATCGCGAAAGATATGACCGTCCCATCGCACTTATTTTTTTATGTTAGTTAAGTTAGTTAAAGACACATGGTACGCTCATACATATTGAGGGTGTATGAGACTATCAGCCCCCCAGATGTCGATGTGTCGTGGTCCCCCCGCCCAAACATGGCCAGGAATGGAGATACAGGGCCGTGAAACACGCTAATTCTTCCATGCTTCGCCCACTGCCTTTTTACGGCGCAGATTCCCGCCGTTCATAACATCCGTCGTAAGCGCGCCTGTCGCGTGCGGCTCCTTGGCACTTTGCCAAGTCCTTTAATTGCGCTCTCAAATACAAGTTGAACGCAATTTCCTGATGCGGATAACATTGGAGGTGCTACAAAATAAGAGCAGAAGATGATGACAAGGGGCAGAACTCAAGAGCAACTCGGCTGCATCTGCAGTATCCATCAAGGGCCGCGCATTCCCGCAAAGCATGAAAATAAAAACAGCCCAAGCGTCCCACTCGTTTGCTCTAAGTATTTCTATGGCATGGGCGCCGGATCGTAGAAATTTACAGGCCAGTTCATCTAATTTGCCTTCCCTTGATTTTTTTCATTTTTGTTTTGTTTACATTTACATCGCTGTGCTTCATTTCTAGCCTGTGTCATCTTCATCTCCTTGTACATGGATTTTGAAGGCATGAGCAATACCTAAAATTTCATTCGCATCAGGAATTTGCGTCTTGTTTGTATTAAACTAAGGAGTATGCCGTTTTGTTCTCATGTTTCGTGGAAATACGTGGCCTCCGAGGGATGTTGCAGAAGTGGCACAGTTGCTTTTAAGTTCTGACCCTCGCCATCATCTTCTGTTCTTATTTTGCAGCACTTCCAGTGTTTATCCGCATCAGGAAATTGCGTTTTCCTTGTATTTGAGAGCGCAATTAAAGGACTTGGCAAAGTGCCAAGGAGCCGCACGCGACAGGCGCGTTTACGACGGATGTTATGAACGGCGGGAATCTGCGCCGTAAAAAGGCAGTGGGCGGAGCATGGAGGAATTAGCGTGTTTCACGGCCCTGTATCTCCATTCCTGGGCATGTTTTGGGCGGGGGGACCACGACACATCGACATCTGGGGGGCTGATAGTCTCATACACCCTCAATGTGTATGAGCGTACCATGTGTCTTTAGATGCAAACTCGTTTCTGTTCGTCCCTCGTCCTTCTCCAGTTACTTAGCATCCCTTCTACCATTTTGACTAGTTACTGAATGATCGTGCCTCATGCCTTACACAGGGCCCTAGCTACACTGAATGAGCCTTGAAGCATGTCAGGATATCCGAAAAAAGACTTACCGTGAACTCGTCTGAAGGTTCGTAGTTTTCATAAGGCGTTTCGATCCGCATATAAGTCGTGTCGTATTGCCAGGAACCAAGATCTAGCCGGCATGTTTGGGTATCATAAGGAAAGTCAACCACGTCAATTTGACAAGGATGTGTGACAACCTGTAAGTGTCTAAAGTAATTTTTAGAATAGAAGTAATCTTCACAATGCAAGCATCGAACATGAGTATGACTGGGTATTTGAAATGCCAGATGGGTGGCAATTCAATTCTTGATACTTTATTATGATAAAGTTTACTAGGAGTGGATGGGGTGCAGGGGATGGGCATCTGATATCGGACCTTTCTAGCCCACACCAATCAAGTACCTGACGAGGATTTGAAGGACTTTCTGGAGGCTGACCCGTCCCAAACAGTTCGAGAGATAGCAGAAGAGCTAGGCGATGGCAAATCCACTGTTGCAGATGGTCCGGAACGCATTGGGAAGGTGAAAAAACTCGACAAGTGAGTGCCCCACAATTTGAGTGACGGGCAGAAATTGGCACGTCTCAAGGTTCCTTCTGCATCGCTTTTGCGCAGCAGAAACGACCCATTTTTGGACCGAATTGTCACCTGTGATGAAAAGGAGATCATGTATGATAACAGGAGACGTTCCCGACAGTGGTTGGATGCCGACGAACCATCGAGCAATTTCCAAAGCCGAATCCTCACGAAAAAAAGATTATGGTTACAGTGTGGTGGTCATCGGCTGGTGTGATCCACTACAACGTTTCGTCACCAGGCCAAACCATCACAGCAGAGACGGTGAAGAAATCGACGAAATGTACCGAAAATTGCGTCAGCTGCAGCCAGCACTTGTCAGAAAGGGTCCGTTTCTTTTGCATGACAACGCCCACCCACACGTTTCGCAAATCACTACCCATAAATTGAACGAATTGGGGGTTGAAGTTCTACCTCACCTGTTCTGGATTGTCACCAGAACCTACCGGTGCATCCTTTTACGACTACCTGATTGATACGTGTAGGCCATAGGCAAACTTGAGACATGTGATTATGACCCATAGGTAAATAGTTAGATACTCGATGCGTGACCTCTCCTGTATTGAGGGGCACGCCTAGATTAAGCCAGCATTCTACCATGTCCACCACCGAGACCACCCCGTCTCGGACTACCTGGAGACCACCCCGTTCAACTACATTATGTTCCATCGCAACTACAACGAGACCACCCCGTCTCGTCGCCATATTCTCCAGACCTTTCACCAACCGAGCATCACCTTTCCAAACATTTTCAGAAGTTCCTCGCTGGAAAATTCTTCATCAGTCAGGACCAGGTCAAAAAGCCTTCGTGGATTTCGTGGATTCACGACCACCCAGTTTTTTCTTTGATGGGAATTGTCGCCTGATGTCACATTGGCAAAAGTATGCTGATTCGAGCGGTGCTCATTTCGATTGAATTTGATGAGTATTAAGAAAGTTATGGTTGTTCAAAGTGAAACATACAAAACGCTGAGAACTTTCTGGACAACCTAATACATCCTCTGCAAAGACGTTTGCGGTTTTCTTCTGTGGAAGAAGTGGTCCCGTAGAACATCGACTGTTCCCTGCAGGACATATCCTTGATTGAATACCATTCAAAATGCCGCCCGCTTCTTCTTAGAGATGGCAGCTGGTGAAATCGGCCATATAGCCGGACCCGAAACATTGAAGGTAAGCCCATTTCACCAGAACCTGAAGCGAGCTGCCCTCAGCAATGGCGCTAGCCAAGCGGGCCAACCGAAAGACGAGCACGGATAACAGATACAAGGTTTCACTTCAAACATAATTTATGCACAACCTCGGGGTAAGGGTAAAGATTATCCAGCCCAATTGATTCTGATACCGATATCACGGAGAGCTGATGTCAGATATGTTAGACGCAAATGGATTTTCAGGGAACAGGAAAAATGGGGGAATAAGACTCCACTTATAGAAAGTTCCTAGTATGGGAACGGTTGCGAGCCAGGAGTTTTTGATTAATTAATTAGAAATTTCTGGTGAAATAGTGAAATTGGATACGGTACTTGTGGATTGGATTGCAGAATAGAACCGTCATGCTTTAATACCACCATGCGTCGCTCGTACTCAATGAGGTCTTCGTTGGATGTTCTATAAAAAAAATGAATAATAGTGGAGAATTTGAAATGACCTAGGAAATCATACGCTGCAAAGAGAGTGATGTCCGGTGTCCAAACACTTTGTTCGGGTACTTTGAGTGATGTGAAATTTGCCAGAGATGGGTCCCACTTCAGTAAGGGATCGATCCATTGAGACGACAGATCCATCGTGAACCGGATTGTCTGCGTTTGCTCGTTCTGGAATAGTAGATTCTCCTGAATCAATGGTTCCAGCAACAACTGTGCAACGATTTATTGCGCTATTTCCTTAGACGGTGAAGGGAATATGGGGGGAGGCACTTTCAATGTTCATATCCAACTAATACTAACGACATGATGCACTGATACCAAAAGCTACCAGTTTCATCTTGAGCGGACACATAGCCGCGAGCAGTTGTATCATTGTCAAAAGGCCATCCCTGTTGGCGAAAATAGTACCCGATCAGTTTCAAGGACCAGGATCAGCGCAGCGAGCTACCAATTGTACACGTACATCAATCCCACTATATATAATCGGCTATGTCCGTGTGGTGTCTGTGTGTGCGTCTGTGTCTCTGTCACAAAATTCATAGCGAGCGTCGCAGAAAAGATAGGATGACAGCTCCAAGAAGTGACATTCACAGCAGGACGGGGACACTTTTGGTGGGAGGCAGAAGGCGATAACACCTGATTAGATTCGATAAGGGGCCTTAGACGCTGAGAGTCATCGAATTAGTAGCGCAGGTTGCAGCAGCTGTGGGACCGTGATTTCAAGAAGTGATATGCATGGTAGGAAGAGAACATCTTTGGTGTGTGACAGGACGTGACAACACCTGACAGGATTCGATAAGGGACCTTAGACGCTGAGAGTCATCAAATCATAGCGCAGGTTGCAGCAGCTGCGAGACCGTGATTTCATGAAGTGATATACACGGTAGGGTGGTGGCTGACAGAAGCTGAAAACAACTGACAAGATCCGATAAGGGACTTTAGAAGTGGGTGTCACCGAATTCTTAGCGCAGGTTGCAGCGTCTGCGAGACCGTGATTTGCAAAATGTGTAATTTGAGAAGGAAGTGACATATTGGTATGTCAGAAGCCTAAGACTCGATAAGGCGCTAAATGCGGAGGGCTCACAACTTTGTAGGGCAGGCTTGCAGTTTCTGATGGGATCTCGGTTCCAAAGAAGTGGTATAGGGGGGGGGGCGGAAACGCCACTGACAGGTGACGATAAGTGACAGCCAACTCATAAGTTTGCAAAGCGATTCATCGCGAATCCGCAACACCGCTATACCTGCACAATTGCGTATTGATGTGGTCCAGGTATCAGCTGTTCTCAGTAAGTCTATCACAAGCACTCCTATGCTTCCTATCGCTATCAAATCGATGTACGGCCGTCTAAAGCAACTGGATTCCCGAAAGCCATGGCAGTTTTTACTCAGTTTTCCATGAACATAACATAACGGCTTATATCACTATTACTAATCTTTCATCAACAGTCTGAGACAGGACGTTCTAATCGTAAACTGGCCCGAATGCGGGACGCAATTCCAGGAAAAAGAACTTACATCGGTGGAGAACGCATCAAGCGGTAGGAGGCTATTAAAGCCTCGCTTAAACAGGTGCGGAATTTTCGTGTGAGGATACGAGATGTGGTATCTAACTGCGAGAAAGTAATGTATAAAATGATAGATTTCAGGTTACATGAAAAACGGTTAAACAATTCTACCAATATATAATCGGCTGTGTCCGTGCCTTGTGGCCGTCTGATCTCTTTGACACGGAAGTCGATAGCGCCATTCGCTAGTAGTCAGGGCGAGATATTGGTCCAAGAAAGTGACGGTAAGGGTGTGACAGGAACACTTGATTTGTGTGGTGACGGGAGTGATATCAGTTGATAGGCTGATCGAAGAGGCTCAAAATGGTCACTTCTCCATCATTTTCGTAATGCAGGACCCCAGCATCAGCAGGCGATTCCAACATATGATCTAGCGGTAAGGGAAAGAACTATTGCCGTGAACGACAAGATTTGTCAGGCTGCTGATAAGATTCGAGGGTTAGAAGGGTATGTCCCATGAGTCCATCACGCGGCCACAGCACAGTAGGAGGTTGGTTCCAAGATAGATGTAGGGTTTAAGAAAGGAACCTAAGGCTTGGTGACAAACAACATTGCCGAATCATCATAAAAGATAAGTGGGCCCAGAAAGATAAGGTCCACTGTTTCGTATCGTGGGTACAGAGTCAGCGTTGGTTCAGCAGGTGATATAGGGTGTGAAGATAAGGTCAGAACGGTGGGTGTCCAATAAAGCCAACAGCTGATGGGACCGATGATAAGACGCATTGCAGTCATCGTGTTCAAGGTGTTAAGAGCTTTCGAATACAAATTCCAAAGTTTTTTGGAAGACTGGTAAGTAATCATACAGTTAATTAAATTTATGAAGATTTTCATTTTCGTCACATTCTTAGCCACTCTTATCGGATTCACTGTCAAGTATCTATATTCGCACTGTATTGTCTTTCTTTGATGTCACTAAATGTTCAGAAGTAATAAACGCGCTGTATGTTCGCATGAATCCTCTAGCCTGATTCAATTTTACCATTGCTCGAGCTAATTTTCAGCTTATTTTTTCTACATCTTTAACTGGAAAGATGCATGTTGACGGTATGGCGGCATTTACGAGACTGCCTCACTCTATGTCCTGCCTGGTCGAAGCCGGCCGGCGGCGAAGCCGGCGTGACTAGGGATGTTAAAGTGGAGGGAGCACTCCGGCGGCAGACGGTGACCGACTGGTGTACATTGTAAGGGCCGTTTTTGTGAGTAAGAGAACTTCACAAGGAAAGGGATGTTGGTCGAAGTTTCATTTAAGACAAGATCTATCACTACTTTGATGGCCGTCCTTCGACGCGTTGACTTCAAATCTGCTTTCCATATCTGCTAACGATTCTCTGAGAAGAGATATGCAGGGGTTGTTGTATCGGAGCTTAATTGAGCTTTGTAAACACAATGAGATGTGTCGGCTCACACAAATGCATGGTGGCTAGTGGGTAGTGTGCTGCGCGCAACGCATGCGAGTGAGAGGTTCGAATCCCTCCAGTGTCGCGCATTTCTGCATTTTCTCAAAAAATGCCTCCTGCACTTCCGGAAAGAACTTCTGCCAGGCTAGAAACCTATTCTACCAAAAATTTGATTTCTAATGGATAGAGCCATTCTAACACTCCAGTGGGAACTTGCTGAGTGTTGTTTCGGCGCGCATTATTCGTCCGTCGTGTTGTGAGGCCAAACTGGTTCCAGACTGGCATCGGGAAGCAAAAGTGGATGTGTGTGGTTGTTATCATAACCGTCAGTAAGACCAACAATGGACTAGAATTTAGCGAGGCGAACCTCTACTGCTGACAGAGATATTGAATCGCGATAAGTGCCAGAACCTTCAGGAATTGCTGCGCTATGGTTACCCCACGTATCGAAACAGGTCTGAAATCTCAATATTTGGTTGAAAACTTGTCTCTAGGGCTAATTTGAGCCCCAGAGCACGAATACACACTCGTTCGGCGTAAAAACCGTTGCCAGGACGTTGCAGTTCCTGCGACACCCTGCCCCTCCAGAATGCGTACAAGACGTTTTCACGAATATGACTTCAGGTATGAATTCAGGGCACTGAAGCACCTCTAGTTTCAGATTCCAGCCAATTTGGGCAATTTGGAGCACCTCATATACATGCTGGAAATGGGTGTGACCTGGTCAAAAATCCTGCATAACTTTGTCCAGGAAGTCGCTTAGCAGATATGGAGGGCAGATTTGTAATCAGCGTCCAAGGGCCCATCGGGCAGTATACGTCTCATTTCGAATGGCCACTTCGACCAACCATCCTTTCCTTGTCAGTTGAGATTCATCTAGGGCGCCCACAACAGCTAATTGTTGGGTTTTTTTTCACTGATAAGATGGTGAAAAATACAAGTTCATATTCCGCTACACTGCTCGTGAGCCTGAGGTTTCAAGTTATGGATTTAACATTTGTAAGGGGTTATGAGCGTAAAGCTTTTCTTGGGATTGGCTGCCTATTGCACACTCCAGTATGAATAAAGCTTCAAGAAATATAATTGTCAGGAAAAATGTGTCAACGTCACCTTGAAAGAACTCACGATAGATAGTAGAGAAAACATCAGTACGTGTACGGTAACATTGGTGATGTAGTCAGGTCGCAGTTTTGGACGAATGTCTGGACGGTAGTTTGCAAAGAGCGTCGTCAGCACTTCCGATTGTTCCAAAGCAACGTTTCCTTGCAGGAGCAGTGCTGAAATGAAATCGCCTTCCGGGTCCGGTATTGAGGCCAGTAATTCTGCTAACTACTGTACACTGGGGTGGAGAACCTAGGCTCTGATCAAACCTTTCTCGACGTACATGGGAAATTCTTAACCCAAATCGTAGAAAGGTGTTTGGATAAAAAACAAATACTTCAAGAAATGTCACCCAGTTGTATGACCATCATAATCGGGGAAAGAGAACTTGCGAGAACTCGAGAAAAGGAATAGTCGAAACTGACAATTAATTCGAGAGCGAGATTCAACGAAGAACCAGGGACATCTGGTCCCACGTGAGCAGAAGTAGAGATAAAAAGTTTCAAACCCAAAGCAGCACGAAAGCTGAGTCCTCCCCTGCTTTCAGCATATTTTCGCTTCAAATATTTCACATGTAACACTCAATGCGGTACGGTTGAGAATTTAAGAATAGTGCAAAAATGTGCGGAAAAACGGCAAAATGCAGAAATCGCTGTTGTGTCACTTCCTTTATTGAGAAAGCAGCATTTCATTGTTCATTACGCTTGTTTCATTGCAAGTGGTGATTGGGGCATTACTACCGGAAAAATCCTCCATTTTGAACGCTGGGTTTGAAAACATTTCGAAACTGACCTAATAATCCAGGGTTGTATAAAAAGTGTTGAGCTGGAAGCATGATCTTTGAAGAAAACCAGCTGCGCGAGCTGAAGGGTTGTCAAGGACGTGATATTAAGAATTCATAAAGGAAGACGCAGTAGGAAGAAGGTGCAAAGGGAACCGATTAGCTTATGAGCATATCCCTGGGAAACCTCTTGTTGAAAAGGGTAACATCTGTGAAGGAAGCAGATGGTACCTGTTTAGAGATTAACTTCGAGAAAAGATAGTGTGTATAAGTCTGTAGCATCTATCAGATCCGTGGTATGACTGATAGCTTCTGCCGGTCCCTTTTCTCTAGGCAGGGAACCTGTTGAGAACGTGTGTATCGATTCCTCACTCTTCAAGAGGTGATAGCTCCTGAGCTCTAACTCCAGTATTCAGTATATTGCAATCACTGTACATTTAATTGCAAGCTTGTAGATGTCCTATAGCGAGTTCCTGCAAGTTTCGCGACAATTCTATCCAGCAGCAATCTTTTCTTCAATATTCAAGCCCCAAATGCCTCGATGCTTCACGAATCAATTTTCTGTAAAAATCAAATCAAGCTGTAATTGAACTGCAGCGATTTCCGAGAAGGTCAACATTCAAAAGCAGTGGGTAGGATTGCTGCGGGCGGGTGGTTATCGCCAACGTTATGGGTGGAGTGTGGAGAAACATCCTCTCGCAGCACTTTCACCCATGACGTTGGCCCAGCCATCCACCTCCAGCAATGTGCCCATTACCTTCGAGGGCATTCGCAGGATCGACTGTTCCAAAAGAAGCATCACCCCATATATATAATTCGCTTTGTCTGTTTGTTTGTGGGTTTGTGAGTTAGTAAGTTGGTCTGTCTGGAAAATTCGGTTCGCACCTGAAGAGAGTTGGGAGAGTTTCACCTCAAGGTGGGATAGGTAGGGGCGATGGGACAAGAAATAAAAAGCACGTTTCTATGGGAAGCCCCAGCCCACAGCTTGGCGGGCACTCGCCGAAAGTTTTGGGGTTGCCGCAGAAAAATGTTCCCAATTCGGCTTCTGCGGAGCCAGCTAAAGATGGGGAAAAAGGGAAACTAGAGTTAGTAACGGGAGTTGCCAAGACTAACTGTGGCAGTGGGAGTTCACACCCTTATTAATTTCGGGGGCGTACTCAAGGTGGGGCTGCTTCTCGTCAAATTCAGTAATTCGCCGGCTCGGCGAGAGTGTTTGGAAGTCGCAAAAAACTCAGTGTAAGAATGTAAATACTCCGGCGACATACAGGGCACGGTCCAAAGTGTATTGAGACCCGCGCCGCAAGTCGCGCGGAGCTTTGCCTCAAATCGCAGGGTACTATTTTACAAGTTTGTAGCTGCGGTTCAGAGCATTGCAAAGACCGGGGGCGGAAAAAACGTGTCATCAAGGTCGGCAAGGGTCCGGCTGTGAGGACTGGTGGGGCCACAACACTGTGGCCGGGCCGCGCTCCGGTTTGGGCGAGTCCCAGACGATAAAAACTGGTAAAATAGATTCCAGAACACTCGCAAGACACGGGAAAAAAGTGGTTAAGTCGAGCAGAGGGTCGCGATTGAGAATGTGGGTATACACTATTGTGGGCGGGCCAGTCCGAGGTGGGCGGATTCAGAACAAAATTCCTGTCCAGCACACTTCAAGGCCGGAAAAAAACGTGGATTAAGGTCACGAGAAGGTCGCGCTCGTTGAAGGACTGTTGGGTCAGCGACACTTGCGCGCGGGACCTGCTTCAGGTGGGCGGAGTCAGAACCAAAAATCATGGGCAGAAAAAACGTCGCGCACGAGGACACTCCGAAGACGCAGAAAAAGAAGTGATAAAAGTCAGCAGAGGGTCGCCAGGTGAGGAATTGTTTGGGCACGAAAAATTGGTGCGGGGCCTGCTTCAAGGTGGGCGGAGTCAGACAAAAGATCTGCAGAAACGGTCCCAGAGCTTTCCGAAGACCAGAAAAAAGTGGATAAAAGTCAGCAGAGAGTCGCCAGTGAGGATTGTGGGGCACGAAATTGGGGGCGAAACCCGTTTCGAGGTGGGCGAAGCCAGACGAAAATTCTGTAGAATGGTTCCAGAACACTTCAGACACCGGAACAAAGTGGACTAAGGTCAGCAGAGGTCGCCGGTGAAGATTGTGGGCCAAAAAAATTGTGGGCGGGGTCTGCTCTGAGGTGGGCGGGGTAAGACGAAGAATCTGTAAAATATTTCAAGAGTATTCAGACACCGGAAAAAAGTGGAGTGCAAAACAAAAGGCGGATGTCAGTTGAGTCTAGAAATATGGGAAAGAAAGTACGCCCGGCGCAGCCAGGCCGTATCAGAAGGAGCCGCGCTGGCGTCAGCCGACGAGGCGACTGGTATGTATACTGTTTTCGCAGCACAACTTCGGAGTTCCATGAACATGTCTCCTTGAATCATTGAACGCTCGTGTGTACTCCAAGGGTGATGTTATAGACATGACCACTCCTTCATCAAGGGGAACATGGAGTCGTGTAGTACGTCGTTCCGAGCTGACATTATACTTCAGGCTTTCGCAATCCGCAATGGGCTCGTCGACGATTGCGGAGATGGCTCCACCTTTTCAAGACGGTTGAGACAGAGCATGAAATGGATCTGTCACCGAAGAAAAGGGAATCGTCTTCAAAATATTTCACTAAACGTGCTCCATACATGATAACCTGTCACCTTGTGCGGCTTAAAGTTTATTGCTCGTTATGAGCAAAGTTTTTTCGGTCTCTCCCCTTGTCAAATTATCTATGCACGGTATGGATTTTCACCGCGGGGAGGGTCTCGACACTGAAGGTGCTGAAAGCGTAAACATGCCTCCATAGTATTTACTCAGAATCAATCAAATATCCAATCAAAAGATTGAGGTTGATTTGGAGCACGAGTCTCAGGTGAGCGGATAGCATGTCGAAAGTGGGCAAAAAAGGGTTTGACATTAGGTTGTGAAGATGATTTGGAACTGGGAAATGTCACTTTCGAGAGGATCTCCATTTTTGCCCTTTTCTAACACTTCTATGAGGGTATTCATTTACCACGTACTCAATGGAGAACGGTCATTATGAATTGCGGAGAATGAATCATGAATTGAAGCCGCTCTTTTCTGAACTATGACTTGTACGAAAATAAAGTCGGCGCGGCTGCACTTGGTGCGGCGCCAACCCTTTTTTTTCTTTCGACGAGCGGCGGGACTGCGTCATGTAGTTCGTATCATTGGTTTTTACCCAGCTGTCACTTAGTCCTTAACAACTGGCGGCTCGGCCGCGTGCCAGATTCAGCCGCGCGGACACGCCTCATCAAATCAAATCCCCGGCGAATAAGACAGTAGGGCCGATTTTTTTAATCTTTGCGATACCCGTTAAGTTTTGTAAAAGTCGGAGTGGAGACATAAGGGGAATGTGTCACAAGTCGCCAATTCTGCCCGTATTCAGGCATAGGAAGGATTCCCTTAGTTCGAGACGTCATTGACAAGTCCTATTCATTCCCAATTCTTATCAGTATCTATGTGATATATCTTCAACTATTATCCATTCATCTGTATCTATGCGCAGTGAAGTTCATTTGCATTTAATCCTCAGCGGCAACGGCTCGTTCGGTAATATCGAACGGTTTCTCACCCGGCAACGGAATTTTTCAATACACTTTGCAGGGCAATGCTGGAAATATGGCTCTACATTATTCTGAATTGGGCATGCTTTCTGGTTTTGCTAACGGTCTGCGGAAAGAAGGACGAAGATGAAGAAGGAGGTGAAACTGGGGTGAGAGAGATTTCTTTCGTTGGACTTGAGAGTTTGTGCTAGACAGAACAATCGCCCTGGCGCAGGTGACCACGAAATGGCTGCATAGCACCTCGACAGACATGGTAGCAAGTCATCACGGTCAACCGTGAGATCTTACGTTGTTGCAATGGATGCGACAGTAGGAAGTTTCAACCAACACGAAAACATCCCTCTGCCTGTGCGTCAGAAAGCTGCAGCTCAATAGAAAATCTTTTGCAACTTGTTGTTTTAAAGGGTTGGACATGGTGCTTATACTGCTCTCGACAGCGCCTGAGCACACGAACATCAGCTTACAATTGGTTTGCTTAGTTTTGTACCGAGAAGCGACCAGTGAAATCGATGACCGAAAACGAAATGAGATCGGTCGAAAAGAACTCATTCGTAAAAACTTTGAGGATTCGAAAGCAGCTGGCAGAAGTTTGAAGAAGGGGGGCACCTCATTCGCGTCGATGACTGACAGATTCTGCAGAACAAAAACATAAAGAGCACAGCCGGCTCCACAATCTGTTCGCTTCGGATAATTGGCGTGTAAATGCAGCAGCGTTTAGCGAGTCGCCAATCCGCCTTTTAGTCACTGAGGTCGCCAATCCGCATTTTAGCTACTGAGGCAAGCAAACGGCAATACTGCTGCAGTGACTATAATATACAATGAGTGACAGGGGCCAGTCAAGGCAGGGATAGCCGAGTGGTTAAGAGTGTAGACTCATAATCTCACTCTGAGCCACGAGTTCGATCCCTGCCAAGGCACAAACCTGCCCTGCAAAAATTGCAAAAATGGGGGCGATACCGGCGTTAGGCTCAGGTTGGCAGGCCTGCTGATTGAGGAACCCGTCACAAAAAACATGACAAGTCGCAATAGAATCAGTGTAAAAGCTAGGAAGTCACCCGGAAGTGGCGCGCAAAACCCTCGCCCGAGTTCTGTGGTCAGTATGCGAGGGCTATCGAGGGGTGAACGACCTCGGCCAAAGAAGCTAGTTCGAATAGTGACCCTGGACGTGGGGTAGCTTACCGGGAAGTCTCGTGAGGTTGCCGACCTCATGAGACGCAGGAGTATCCAAGTCCTATGCCTGCAGGAAACGCGATGGAAGGGTGCGAAGTCCCGCGTGATCGGAGATAGTGTTAAACTCTTCTACAATGGACACCAGACACCAAACGGAATGGCGTGGCCATAACGGTGGCAGAATCCCTCAAGGACAGCTTTCCGCTGTGAACAGGATTAGTGACCGGATCATGGGAGTGAGAATAGACACGAAGGGTACTGGACAGTACTGACCGTGTACGCACCACAATCCGGTTGCTCCGAAGCGGAAAAGCCTTGGCCGAAGAATACTGGAGGCGGGGTTCCCAGACCCACATGGGCCAGTCCAGGATACCTGTGCCTATGCAGGTCATCCTACAGTGTGCTAGGGAGGTCCTGGGAGAGACGCGAGGTGGTATCAGAGGAGACAAGGCGGCCTGGTCCTAGAACGAGGAAGTCCAGAGGATCGTCAAGCAAAAGAAGGAAGCATACAAACGCTGGCAAAAGATGCGGAGCCCAGAATACTACGCTGCCTACAAAAGCTGCAAGCGACACATCAAGGCAGCCGTTGCTGAGGCCAAGAATACGGAAATGGACTCCCTGTACGACAAGTTGGAAGGCCGAGAAGGGGACAAGTTCGTCTTCCGCCTGTCTAAAGCTCGGCATCGCGCTGCTCACGATATCAAGGCCGTAAAGACTGTGAAGAGCAGCAAAGGGGCCATCCTCAGGAAACCAGCCGAAATCAGGAAGAGGTGGGAAAAATACCTCGAGGGACTTCTGAACGAAGAATTCCCTCGGTAGGATTCCACAGATAGAGGCGAGGCAGTCCCATCACTTCCTGGACAGAGGATGAAGTCCACCGTGAGCTAAGGAGAATGAAACCTGGGAAAGCAGTGGGTCCAGACGGGGTACCGATAGAGGCATGGAAGGCCCTGGGAGAGCTTGGGGTGAGTTGGCTCACATACCTCCTAAACAACGTTACAGCTGAAGGAAGGATGCC